TATATATAGATATATATATACATACATACATACATACACATAGTAACTTTATCAGAACAAAAGAACTTAGTAAAAGCAAATTACCAGAAAATGTTCAATTTTGTACAAGCAGCAAAAATGTAACTTAGGAACCTACACAGTTGTATTTAGTGCTATATTTAAAATATGTTGAATTAAAGCATACATACCATAGATTGTACAGAGATGGGAAGTCAAGTAAAATAATACATAAAATACTATGGAAACACAAATTAAATATTGTATTTAATAGAATGTAGTAATCATTGTAATCACAAATGTATTCTAAAAAACATTTGTATTACATCTCAGCAAGGCACTGCCACGTGCCATTTAAACTATTCTGTAGATGAGTAGGTTCAGGAATATGATGAGATGATACTGTAATTTCTGGAGGAGTTGACACTTCACAGCTTAAGAGCAGTAACTTGCTAATAAAATGTGGAAAGCATTTTAATCCATCAGCTCTGACATGTTTTCTAGATGTAAATCGATTCGTTCTTTAAGTTAACAGCTTACTAAAACCTTGTTATACTGTTTTTAGACTGAATATTAATGGAAATAAAGGTTTTCTGAACATGTTAATCTTTTAAAACTCTGGGGTTGGATTGTTAACTAAAATAAACATGAGTAGGGTAAAAGGTACAATTAGATTGCATGTCCACCTATGTGAGCGGACACGCACAATCGCAATCCATGAATCTATCTAGCTGATGCTGATTGTACACTAATGATTCATGCTGTCTTAGGTTACCGTGTGCATTAAACATCCAATTAAAGTTGCTGTTATGGCTCCTGTTTCCTTGAGGTGCAGTTCTGAATCTGCACAGAATTTTTTTTTTTTTAAATAAGGATGTGACTGACTCGCAAATTTATGAAATGCGCACCAGGCAAGTTAAAAGAAAAAAGTATGCTATGCTGTCTTATGAAAAAGTCAGGGTATTAATGAGTATTTACCATTGGAAACTGCAGTCCTAATACCAGTTTAAAAAAAACTTGTATGCTGGTACCTGAGATTTGTGGAGACAGACTGTAGTTTCCTCATTCCTTTTACAAGTTTTTTTTTCAATCGTCTTTAACTATAGCCATAAGCTTTTGATGTGGGTTAATTTCTATGTGGAAAGCGCATGTTAAAATGCAACAGGCCTATGATAGACACACAAACTGTAAAGAAAACTCAATTTTATTTAAGGCATGGCACAGCTAAGCTAGTGTTTATAGACACTAGAACAGGGGTGGGCAATTCATTTTTTCAAGGGATCAAATGAGAAACTGGAACTGTTGTGGAGGGCCGAACCAATAGGTTGAACTCAATTCCACTTAATATTAATTTTATTGCTTTATAAAAAGAAGTAAATTATATAGTCTTGATATTGTCCCCATTAGATTGCCCCCTTACATTGTGTGTCCCCTTTAGTGTGTCCATTTATATTATTTTCCCTATTCCCATACCTTAGTTTACTACCATATTAGTAGGCCAGCGTTTGGCGCTAGGAGGTAGAGTAGGCTGCAGGAGAGGATTGAGGAAGATACTCTTCTGTCCTCCAGTAAATCTAAAGCTGGGGAACACATTTGATGTCACTTGTTGCTAGGACCACAGGTGGTCCTAGCAACTAATGACTGCAAAGGTGGTGGGTACCTGATTTCATTGGTTGCTAGTGTAACCCCCATCACCTTTTGTGGCATTGTCTGTACCCCCCCTGGGTGGAGTGTGATTCTGCTGTACCGTGGGACAGCCAATGAGGGACACTGTACGTGTATGTACAGTATAGCAGCCAATCACTGTTTTTTTCTCAACCAGTAGTGGATGCTGGGATAGGGTACATATACTGGAGGGAATTACCATTGCCTAAGGGTGGGCAGAGGCTGGAGTGTGGGAAGTGTTTCCCTGGGCCTCAATTATAGATGAGGGCCTGTGCTGTTGCCAGAGGTAGAGAACCAGGAAGATAGATGGCTGCTGAAGGTACTAAGAATCTAGAGGATCTCAGGAGCATGGCTGACATCTCTCCTGCTGGGGATCCGTACTCATCTCCCCCTGCTCATCTTACTTCAATTACTACTTACTGTACCTCTGATGGATCTACATTGACCTCAAGGCTACACAAGGAAAGATGACATCAAAGTCGTCCAGCCAACTCCACTGAGATGCTTATCAAAGATGGGGTATGTTAGGAGAAGGCCCGGCTGGGTGGTAATGTGATCCTATTGAATCTCCCTGGTGGTGTGAGTCTAGCAGCATACCTCCATGGTGATCTCCGTTGGGAAGACCAAATCCCCCAGACAAAAAACAAGTAGAACTCACATTTAAAATCGAAAAAAGTCCCCCCGAAGACGCCATGTATGACGAAACGCGGCGGGGCAGGCCTATCCTACTCGATACCGCACACAATACGGAAGTAAAGGCTATCTGGATGCTGAGTTTGACCGGCCGTTTTTTTCGATTTTAAATGTGAGTTCTACTTGTTTTTTAATAAATGGTTTTATTTACTACACCATGAGGAGTTTCTTTTTTGTAATTTTGGCTATTCACTGGCTTATGGCACACCGCTGGGACAGATGCTAGGATTTTGTGTCTACCGATCAACTTCTTATTGTTAACATACAATAATAGTGCGGTGAGTGTGCACCCCAAAGGAGCGGCTGACGTGGACACAAATACACGGTGTGGGAAAAGATTTTCGAGCACTTTTGGACTTTTTTGCACATGTTGGATTTAATAATAGTATTATTTCACTAAACAGCATTTATTTATCACTTTGATTATGATCCAATTTCCTATGGAAAAATATCTTTTTATTGCATGTCTATAGTGTATCAAGATTTCAGGATTATATATTAATTTGCAATTTTTTATATATTTGTTTACACTATCATCAATTCATTTATATTAGGGATGCACCGATACCGATACTAGTATCGATATCGGTGCCGATTCCGAGTATGTGGGCAAGTACTCGTACTCGCCCAAATGCTCCAATGCCTAGCACGAGTACTTCCGGTATCAGGAAGCCGGGCAGCGCATCATTACACGCTGCCCGGTTTCGCGATTGACCGGAAGCTGGCCTCGTGAGGTAAGGTTACCTTACCTTAGTATGTGTAGCCTGTCATCCCCCGGGGCCTCTCCAGCGAGAATGCGGCCTTCGTCCGGTACCCAGCCCGATCCGTCCAATCAGGAAGCCGGGCGCCGTCTAATGACGCGACGCCCTGCTTTCTGATTGGCCGGGAAGCTGGCTTCATGCTCCCTCGTCAGCTCATGACAAGAGAGCATGGAGCCGGCCTCCCAGCCAATCAGAAAGCAGGGCGTTGCGTCATTACACAGCGTCCGGCTTCCTGATTGGACGGCTCCGGGTGGGTACCGGACGAAGGCCGCTGGAGAGGCCCCGGGGGATGACAGGCTGCACATACTAAGGTAAGAGGGGACTTTTTTGTTAATCGGGAAGCCGGGTGGCGACTCTTTACACGCTGCCCGGCTTCCCGGCTAATCAGGAAGCCAGGTGGCGAGTCATTACACGCCACCCGGCTTCCTGAATGGGACTTCCGTCACTCTGTGTAATTGGTATCGGCGAGTACCGAAAAAAAATCATCGGTACTCGCACTTGGTACCAAAATACCGGTATCAGTGCATCCATAATTTATATGATCATTTATATTGCACGCTAGCACTTTTGCATGTATTGCACTTTTATAATCAGTATTAAATAGTTACTACTGAGGTAGTGACTCACACTCTTTTTCACAGGTTACATACATTGGCACCAAATCACTAATGAGAGATTGATTAATTAATTAATTATGCACATTAATTAGAAGTACCCTGATATCACCTGAGAGTAGGCTCATTTAACCTGCTACCGATCCCTAGCGCTGCACACTCATTATTTATAATGTAACTACTGTGCTGCTCTTTGTTTTTCTGTGGGCATGCTGGAGTAGAAGCTTTACAAAGTGCCAAGATCCCTTGCTCTACATCATCCATCCTGTTCTAGGTATATAGTATAACCCACCCTACACCACTACCTTTGTTGAATGAATCTGTGACTGCGTCTCTACTAAGATGGCTACCGCCACATTGAGATACAGAATGGAACAAGGCATGGTAAGGAGAGAAACAACCTCTTTTAATTTAACTGTTTACACTGTAAGGCAGAGGCGGATCTTTAATTAGGCAAATTAGGCAGTCGCCCAAGGCCTTGGGCTCCCTAGGGCCTCGAGGCCGCACTCAGGCGCATTGCCTCGCAGGCCCAGCCAGGCAAGGTTATGATCCCTCAGCCCTGTCGCTGTCAAACTGAGAGCTCATCCATTTCCTCTGTCCATCCACGTTGCCTTCTGGAGGTCTGACCACCAGCCAATGAGGAGAGACGTCACCCCTCCCATCCATCGCATGAGGATCTCAACCTGGGAAGGTGGAGTTTAACTTCGGAGGCAGCTTGAGTTGTCGGCACCTGGTCCTGCCCGCCCCCGCCAGTGAGATGCAGCCTGCACAGCCCTGGTCGGACCCGGCCCGCACAGTTCTGGTGAGAGGAGGCCTGCACAGCCCTGGTAAGACCCCACAGAGCCCTGGTGAGACCCCTATAGAGCTCCGGTTTAAACCCAAAAAAGCCCTGGTTAGACCCTACACAGCCCTGGAGAGACTCAACAGAGCCCTGGTTTAATCAGGACTCTGTGGGGTCTTACCAAGGCTCTTTGGGGTCTCTCCAGGGCTCTGTGGGATCTAACCAGGCTGGCTGGACCCCACATAGCCCTGGTTAAACCCTACAGAGCCCCGGTGAGACCCCACAGAGCCCTGGTGAGAGCCCACATAGCCCTGGTGATATCCCATATAGCCGTGGTGGGACCCTACAGAGCCCTAGTGAGACCCTACTGAACCCTGGTTTACGCAGGGCTCTGTGGAGTCTAACCAGGGCTCTGTTTGGTTTCACTAGGGCTCT